TGTTTGTTTTGGTATTAGTTTGGCGTCTCCTCTTGCAAAGGTTAAACTGGAAAAGCTAGATGATGCATCAGCAAAGAAGGACAATGATGTTGCTCAGGGCTCTGAGCCATTTACCATTGGGGATTCAGGCACTCCTACTAGGACCAGCAAGCGTACCCCTGTGAAACGTCGTCTCTATGACGCGTAGGGTTTCTTTTCATGTTTCATCAGTGCCTTCTAAAGGTCAGCGTGTAACTTTAGTGTTCTGATTGAAATTCTCTGTGGCGTCATTGCCCTTCCATATTCTGCCCTACTTATTCTGTTTGTGATGTTCTCTGCAGGTTGGTGTGGTCACTTGCGTGGTGTGTGTTCTATGTCAAGTGCATGTTTGTTGACCCAAGATGGTTTCCTTCCTCAGCTTGCTGAAGTTAGCATATTTTGTTTAGGAAATGAGGGTTTATTTTGGAAAACAGTTGTGTGTGCAATGATGATCATCTATGTATATATGTTGTGCTTTTGTGAACCTAAGAACAAGTATCTGGTGGTTGTCCTTGGGGGAGGGCATCTGGATGATATGTAAATATTGGTTATGTAGGTTTGTAGGTACTGGGAACGATGTATGGTGATTATCTTTATGGATATGTATCTGGATTGTATATAAGTGGTGGTTGTGTAGATTACTTTGTGAATGTATGGTGTCTTATATGATGTATGTGAAGTGTTTCTTTCTGATATCAGATATGCATTGAGTTGTCCAACCTTTCTAAGGCTTATGATTTTATGGTCTTGGAAGACTATGATTTTTCCTGGGAATGATTTGGTTTGGTTAGTCGCACCTTCACTGTTGACATTTGATTTTTGTGACGAGAGTGAGTAAAGTTATTCAAGTTGGATGCCTTCTAATTTATCATCAATTTTGTGATTTGGGTCTAAGAATGTTTGTCTATTTTTTCTTTAAACTAAATATATTTAGTCTGTTGTGGCTTTGAGAATGCATGTGTTTACATGTATGTATTTTATGGGGGCTACATGGACAGCTGTTGGTTTTTATGTTGTTGATCCGATACTCAATTCCTTTCACTTCGTTAGTCATCTGTCAATGATCAAGCCCCATGCATTTAATGCAATTTCAGTCTCTGATATGTATTCAACACTCCCAAGGCTCATTGTAATGATTGTTTGGGTTACTAATATTATATTAGTATATTTTCTAATACTTTATGCCTAAGTTACCATCGCAGCCATTTACTGAGGAAGCTTTCATTCTCAACAGAGTAAGTTCTGAAGAAGAAAGTTCCTGGTGCTCCAGTTCTTCTTATGGAGATTTGTTAGTTGTTCTTATCAATAATCTTCATTCTTCCACGTCTTTTGGAGATTGTGTTACCCGTTGACCAGCTAAAGGGAATAGGTTTGTTATCTCTTTTACTTTTCTTTGTCAGCTACGGGTGCTATTACTGACCCAGGGTTGTTGTGCCAATTTATTATGCAGATGTGTCCATGTAATGTAGCATAGTCTGCAACTTTTTCACCTGAGATTTATTGGACATCTTTCTAATTAATACCCTGCAACTGTTGGGACTTCTACTGCTTGCTGATTGACTGAAGGAATCAAACAGGTTGGACCTTTTTGCTGATGGATTTTCATTGATGGTTCATGATTGTTCAGGTCATTTATTGTGTGTGTGCTTTTGTATTTGTGATCACAACAGGATGCCTCCAAGGAGAAAACGACCGGTGGTTTATAATGTATTAAAGAAGAAAAAAACAAGGATTTCAGCTGTTGCTCAAGTTGCTGGTTGCAATGGAGAATCTGTTGACTGTCATAATTTCAGTCAGGCAACCGTGGATCCTTATCAGACTAGCTCAACGATTTCGAGTATGAGTGATTCTTTCTCTGCTGGCAGCATAAGTGGAAGCATTATTCAAGCACGTAGGCCGTTGTGCTGTGATGTTCTGAGTATTGGGAAGCCAGAGTGCATATGTCAGTACTGTGGAGCTCTTTTTTGGTACTCTGAGAGGTTAAATCGTTATCGCAATACATCTCAGCCAATTTTTGGACTGTGCTGCCAAAAAGGAAAGGTTAATCTTCCTCTCTTAAAGCAACCTCCTCCATTGCTTGCTCAGTTGTTGGACCTACACGGAGGACCAATGTCCAAGCACTTTAGAGATAACATACGACCATACAATGGGGCCTTATGTTTTACATCTTTTGGAGCTAAACTGGACCCTCGATCTCTAACAAGTAGAGGCCCTTATTCCATGGTCATTTGTGGAGAAAATTATCACAGGATTGGTTCATTGCTTCCTGTGGATGGAGAGAAGCCTAAATTCGCCCAGCTGTATATATTTGAACCTGAAAGTGAGCTGGATAACAGGTTGGAAAATTTTACATCTCGAGAGACATTACTTTTGCCTGAGCTGTTGTCATCACTGTTAAGGATGCTTGATGAGACAAACGTGTTGGTCAAAACCTTCAGGAGGATTAGGCAAGAACTACAACATTCATCCACTCCCAATCTTCGACTTAGAATATTTGGAATGGAAAGTCGAAATCGACAGTATGATTTGCCGACAAGCAATGATGTGGCTGCCCTTATTCCAGGAGATTTCATTCCGGATCAAAAGGATCGGGACATCATAGTGGATCATAAGAATGATGGTCTCAAGAGAATCTCGAGTGTCAATCCAAAATTTGAGGCACTTCACTTCCCACTACTTTTCCCGTATGGTGAAGATGGATATCATCCCTTGATATCGTATGATGCTAGGTATTGTCCAGCTTCATTACGGAGAAAATTTGTGACTCAACGAGAGTATTATGCATTTCGTCTTCAATATCGGGAAAATGAGGGACATACATTGGTCAAAAGTGGTAAGGCACTGCAGCATTACTGTGTAGATGCATTCTCTACAATTGAGTTGAATCGCCTTGCATTTTTAAGAAGTAACCAGAAGGAACTCAGAGCTGAGGTCTACCAGGGTTTACAGGATGCGTTTTCTAGGGGTGACATGGATGCCGATAAACTCGGACATGTCATCATACCTTCTTCGTATACTGGTGGCCCTAGATACATGCAACAGTTATATTATGATGCAATGGCAACGTGTCAGTTCTTCGGAAATCCAGATTTATTTATTACTTTCACATGTAATTCGCTATGGGAAGAAATAATTGATGCCTTCGATGAAATTGCTGGTGCACATGGCGAATACAAACCTATGGTGGTCTGTCGGGTGTTTCATATAAAGCTTACAGCATTGATTCATAAAATTCGACGAGAGAACTACTTTGGCAAAACTATAGCAAGTGAGTTTCGCTTTCTTTGTTCAGTTTCATACATTTGTCTCTTTGTTATTTACTGTATCTTTTCTTCCACACAATGTTGGCCACTTGTGTTTATATTATGTTACCATGAATTGCAGGTCGACTTTGTTACCCTAATAATCATTTGTCCCCCATATGTTATTAGTTACCTGCATTGTGTGACCTTTTTAGTTCTGCTGATAAAAGATATGATTCATGTTTTACATTTTCAATTGCAGTAATGTATACTGTGGAATTCCAGAAAAGGGGACTTCCACATATCCACCTGCTTATATGGCTTGCTGATCAGGACAAAATCAAAACCACCGATGACATAAATGAGACAATTTCAGCAGAAATTCCTGATCCGCATCTTGATCCTGTTGGGTATGAAGCTGTTGTTAGATTCATGCTTCATGGACCTTGTGGAAATGCAAACCCATCAGCCCCTTGCATGAGGGATGGAAAGTGTTCTAAATACTTTCCGAAGGAATTTAGTTCGGAGACTGCGTTTGATAAGTTTGGAAACGTTATTTATCGACGTCGAAACTCTGGAATTCAGGTCAAGAAAGGCAATGCTATTTTGGACAACAGACATGTTGTTCCTTACAATAGGAACTTACTGGTCATGATGCAGGCACATATTAACGTTGAGATCTGTCATAAAGGGGGATTAATCAAATATCTATTCAAGTATTTAACTAAGGGTCCAGATAGGTCACTGGTGATTGCTGAGCATTCTGCAACTTCCAAACAAATACCCTCAACGAATGCAACAAAGAGCAGAGATGAAATACAAGAGTACATTGACTGTAGGTCTCTATCTTCATATGAGGCTATATGGAGAATTTTTGAATATGAAATACATCACAGGGAAACAGCTGTTGTTCGCCTTGCTGTACATTTGAAAGGGCAACAGAAGGTGCCCTACAGAAAGCAATCAAGTGTTCGCTATGTCCTTCGAAATCCAAAAGCTGGAAAAACGCATCTCACAGAGTGGTTTGCTCTCAATCGTAGAGATCCAGAAGCAAGGAAGCTGACTTATGCACAAATACCAAATGCTTATACATGGAATGGGGATGAAAGTGAGTGGACTCCACGAAAAAAAGGATTTGTGATTGGGAGGATTGCATATGTTCCGTCGGGCAGCGGTGATGTGTTTTACCTAAGGCTCATGTTGACAAAAGTTCCTGGACCAACAAGTTATGTTGCTTTGAGGACTGTTAATGGCGAAATCTGTCAAAGTTATGAAAAAGCATGTGAGAAGTTGGGCCTCTTATCTAACTCTTCAGAATGGGTTAGAGTTCTGCAGGAAATATCTGCTTCTAGCATGCCAAGTTCAATTAGGAGTACATTTGTGTGTATGTTAATGTTTTGTGAGGTTCCAAGCCCCTTGGAATTATTTGAGTCCAGCTGGAAATTCATGGCTGAGGATCATGCTCATTCTCTTCGAAAGCAGCTTCGTTCAGCGACTTTTCAGCCTTCCGATGAAAGACTACGAAACTGGGTTCTTCATCAACTTAAGGCTTTGCTGGGATCTTATTCTGCATCTCTTGAACAGTTTAATCTTCCCAAGCCAACAGACTCAGGTGTGGATGATGGATCAAACTCATTGTTAAACGATCATTTGAATTTTGATGTTTTGCAGCAAGAGCAGTTATCGAATACACTGCTTCATTCACTAAACATGGATCAATTTGAAGCCTATTCAGCAATTATGGTATCAATCGATGGTAATCTGGGCCGACCTTTCTTTTTATATGGTCATGGAGGAACCGGGAAGACTTTCTTATACAACACCATCATTGCAAAATTAAGAAGTCTCTCTAAAGTTGTGATCGTTGTAGCTTCCTCAGGCATAGCAGCAACTCTCCTACCAAATGCCACCACAGCTCATTCAAGGTTCAAAATTCCACTTCATTTGGACAACACTTCCACCTGCTCAATAAAAAAAGGAACTCACCTAGCTGAACTCATACAGAAAGCAGCCCTTATTGTTTGGGATGAAGCGCCGATGACACACAGGCAAGCATTTGAAGCTATTAATAGAACCCTATGTGATCTTATGAACATACCTCTTATTGGCCCACAACATAAATTGTTCGGCGGGAAAACAGTGCTGTTTGGAGGGGATTTCCGACAAACTCTACCAGTGATTCCAGAGTCTGGCAGAGAACAGACAATTGACGGTTCACTCACTAGATCTGACATTTGGAACTCCTTTACTCTTCTCAAATTATCGAGGAACATGAGGCTCAACAACTCATCATCAAATGACACGTTGATCAGTAACAAATACACATTTGGGGAGTGGGTCTTAGCTCTTGGTGATGGAAAGCTTCCATGTAAACGTTTCAAAGAAGACACACCAGCTGATTGGATCGAAATACCATCTTTGTTTTTGGTACAACCACAGTTAAGTCCAATCACCTCCATCGCAGCAGAGATATATGATTCCTTCACTGAAACTTACAAAGACACAAAATATCTAACGTCCAGGGCAATTGTGACACCAACAAATGCAAAAGTTAGTGAGATTAATGAATTCATGCTTCAACAGGTGCCGGGGCCAGTGCGCTCTTATTATAGCTCAGACTCTATGCAGCGTGACACACAAGTACCTGAGTCATTTGATGAAACTTATCCAACTGAATTTTTGAATACATTGACATTCAACGGTGTGCCAGATCATGAGATTAAACTGAAGGTACACACTCCTGTGATGTTGCTAAGGAATTTGAATACCTCTGCTGGACTATGTAATGGAACCAGGATTATGATAACAGAACTGGGAGAGAATGTCATCAAAGGAATTATCATGGGTGGAACTTTTGATGAGCAGCCTGTTATTATCCCTAGAATTGTGTTAAATGTTGAGGACAGGAGGTGGCCATTTATACTTAAAAGAAGGCAGTTCCCTGTGCGACTTTGTTACGCAATGACTATAAATAAAAGTCAAGGCCAGACTCTCGAGAAAGTAGGAGTTTATCTACCAGAACCTGTCTTCAGCCATGGCCAATTGTATGTTGCTGTTTCAAGGGTGAGATCAGCAGAGGGTCTACGGTTCTTGATAGTTAACACAGACGGGATTCCCAACAACTGCACCAGAAACATTGTCTTTACTGAAGCTTTTGAAGACATCAACACAAATCGAAACATTTCACAAATGTAACAGGTGTGTTGTTAGTGCATTCATGCCTGAAAAAAATGTTGATCTGTTGCACATTGTTTATGTTGAGCTATCCAAAATGTTCAATCTCTTGCTGCACATAGACATGATACAATGTTTGTTTTATCATTGCAGGTTCACTCAGATCAAGAATTATGTGAAATCAAAATTGCAGTTTTATGTCGACATCAATTTCCTGTCTGTTTCAGTCACTTTGTTGTTTTGTCCAGGTTGTGTTCATAAAAAGACAACATATCACAAATATGAGTATCCATTTTGATGAATCAAACTACTTGACCTGAACTATAAATTATTCCAGCAGTTCTCGGTTAACATTGCCTTCGATGTTGTGTATTAAGAAAGCATTGGTTAGTTCATGTCATCAGATGTCACTGGTTAGTTCATGTCATCACGTCAAGAGTTGCTTTACCATCTGATTCAGTGTATCCATTTTTCCTGTCAATGGTTGCGGTTGAGACATGTCAGATTATCCCATCTTCTGTGGTCTTCTAGATGCCAAACTTTCAGTTTTTTTATCTGAAAAATTAAAGCCATCTCAACCATTACTCTGTGCAAACTGAAGGGTGAGCTTGGTCTTTGTTGTGAGTAACTCTCTTTGCTTACAGCTGCTTATTTACACAATTTGACTTCATCACAACTTAACTTTTGGGAGCTTTATTGGATTACACAATTTGACTTCATCACAACTCAAACCTGGAACTTTAAGTGTTATAAAAGAACGTGTGATGTTCTGGAACTTTATTGGATTACACAATTTGCAGCTTGGAGCCACAAAATCTAGCTAAATTGGGACGCCCTTTGAATTCTGGGATTTGCTGGGAGTTCTTGGCGTTCTTGGCATGTTCTTCACCCAAAATTTTGCAGGTTAGGAGATTGATCCTACAAATAGAAAACAGAATCCAGAATCCGTTTTTTACAAAACGACATGTTGATGGTCGTTCTATTTATTTGCCAGGCCCATATAAATGCTAAGCCCACTAACACTAATAAATCGCTGCTTATTGTTGGTGGTCACAAATGGCTAACTTTCTCCAATCCTTAGAAAATAAATGATTAGTATTTGGCACCAAAATGTACTATTCAACCACGTAATTAAGCATAATGATGCTCATCAGATGCGAATATGGAGATAGTGAAATACGTCTTCAAGAATTCGTTTTCAAGGCTAAGTGTTTATGACATATTTGTTAATAGAATATGCATCCAACGAAATTCTTTTGTTTCCAAGGAATAAACTTAAAAATATGGTTATCCCAGCGCGAAGCGCGGGCAAGAATACTAGTATTAATCAATTGAGAAAACAACAAAAGTTATTCTTGTTACTAAGTGGATCACGAGCCCATGATGTCATCCCATGATGTTACTAACTATTGGGCCCATTTGTTTTCCCTCAGCCCACGGTGCATTACGATTTACGAGTCAAGGCTAGAGGACTTTTGTTTGCTAGGGACTTTGGTCGACCCGGTGGGTATGTACGACGAAAATTAGGTCAAATTTACGGGTCGTCCCGCGGATTACTAGATACCCAGCTTAAAGGTCCAAGGCTTTAATGATACTGTTATTGGCCAAGGTCCAACTAATTCTGTAGCCATGCAATATAATCATACGGTAAGTTTGGTCCCCTAGCAACATGAGCCAATTAACTATATACTAACTAAAAAGCCTGTCTTTCTAGTTTATTTCAGAGTTATATATAGAGCACCTGTGAGTGCCTTTTATGCAATACCCAAGAAAACGAACCAAATTCTTATGGCGGACATTCAAATTGGGGGAGGAGGGTACTAAACAGATGAGTATTGTCAATTTATGGGTTATTCGCGGGTACCCGTTATTCGTTCTGTACGCGTAATGAGTATTCGTTAACCGTATGGATTTGGGAAATGGGATGAAGTTTTCTCTCAAAATGAGATTGGGTACCCATTTCAAACGACGCGGGTACCTAATTCCGTCCCGTTGCCCACCCCTAGCAAATAGTCCAATTCAAGTCGATCCAGGCATTCCATAACTAGATTTGGACCTTTGAATTTGCGTGGGCCCAGAAAATTCAGATCTAAGGGGTGAGATTCGAAGGCTTTTTATTTTTTTCTAATTTCTTAAACGACTCTTATCTTCTTCATTCTAACTTGGATTTCAATTTTTTTTGCACAGATGGAACGTGGTAGATGCCCGGAACCACGTTACTATGATTTCATTTTCTGTCTTTATGTTAAACTTATTTATTTTTATTTCATTGTGATCTACAAAATGAGATCCATTTTCAATATATTCCGACAAAAAAAGATTTCATACCAATCGTTACCACATTGGTACCACGCTATACCACCTTCGTTTTAACTCAAATTCAGAAATTTTTTGCGCAGATGGAACGGAATCTTCTTGATCTATTAGATCCACAAATTTCTGGGGTGAAAGTACAGGATTATAACGTACCACTCTGTACCACCCCGATATAGGTGTGGTAAATAGTGGTACACAATGATAAATATGGTAAATAAAAGTTCGTATATTCATATTATCATGTATTTCACACACATCTTACATATGTTATGTTCATACCACCATGGTACACTTCTTCTGTACCACGTAGTATATATAATTTTGGACAATCATGTGAATTCAAAGTGACAGAGGGGAGGGTGCTAAGTATAATATAATTTTGAACTGTTGGAGAAAAGAGATTTGTGTAATTTATTCTCAGAACTCTTGGGATTAAAAAAGAGAATCGCTTTTTAGAGAACAAGAATCCAAACGAAAAGAGCACAATCGGTAGGCCTATAAAATATAATAGGCAGAGTGCAACAATCATGTGTGAATTCAACCCAAAAGAACACATGGGTCAAATCAAAGGGGAGTGTATCTACACCCATAGAAGGAGGTGCCAAAACGAGACTTCAGTATGTGTATAAACTAATAGTCGCATTCTGTGCTTAATCAAATTAAAGCACCCAAACCACAACCTTCCACACTATACTAATTAAGCTTAAGTACTATAAGTTTTTGTTCTATAGTAACCCGATTAATCCGCAACCCAATCAACCCGCAATCCAACTGGTCTGGAACTCGATTGACCTGTCAGTACAAAATTAATAAAATTAGGGACAAATAAAGGAGACGATATATGGTTTACTTCCGTACCTAGAAATACAAGTTCAAGTGATTTTAGGGACAGCTGGACAAAGTTGTCTCCACAAATCAAGCGATAAACAATTAATTAGTTTGGAATTTTCTTGAGCGTCCCCAAAGCCCCATGTGCTTAATTAAATGCTAAATTTGTGTGAAATAGAACTTTAGCGGTGAGCCGGTGAGTTATATTCCTATGATAAACTAACAATCCTTTTTAAGAAGCTAAGCGGGTTCAAAATCTAAAATTCACTTGAAATTATGTATTTTTAATTAAATTATAAAAATTAAAACATGAAGCTCACTTGATTAAGTTCATCTTGCAAATAATCAATTGACTATAAGAAAGCTGTCGTTTAGTGTTGGCTTTGGGCAACTAACCGACACAAATTTTTGGTGGATAAGTGCCTCGATGATCACCGTTCAATTAACAACTAATTAATGGTGGTTAAGTGCACCAATCATGTCAATTCAAAGGGACTGAGGGGAGTGTGCTAAGTTTGAATTGTTTGTGTAATTTATTCTCAGAAATGAAAGGAGCAGTTTATGTGCAGCGGTAATTATTAAAAAATAAGGTGCCAAAATGAGACCACAGAACACATAATGAGAAATTAATCTTCTCTTTTTTATTCCTGCGTGCGTGCCTCGATGACCATTATTCAATTAACAAGGAGAAAATGGCGGGCAAGTGCACCAAATCATGTCAAATTAAAGGGACTGCAAGTATAATTAACAATAGAAGGAGGTGGCAAAATGAGACTAATTATTAAGCTGTAGGTGAGTTTGTTTCTTTCTTTCTGCATGCTAGTATGTATATATAGTCGCATCCTGTGCTTAATCAAAGCATCCAAACCACAACCTCGATCCCACACTAATTAACTAAGCTTCCGTACCAGCCATATATCATTCTGTTCTATTGTCTCCTTAATTGATTCCTTCCTACATATCCAAAAATATGTCTGCCGCTGCTAACTCGTACCCGTCAGCGGATCGGAACTCAGCAAGCTTCCATGACACCCTCTGGGGCGACAGCTTCCTCAACAAAGTTGATGAGTCCCTCCACGTCCAGCAGGTTGCATGCATGGTTAACAATTAATTGCCATGCAAATTAAATGACTACTGATCTTAATTAATTACTAGTTTCTTGACTACTTAATTAGTTTGTTAACTGTGGTGATCTTTCATCGATCAGGGCCAAAGCGAATATGAAGCTTTGAAGGAAGAGGCGAGGAAGATGTTGACACCCGACGGGAGTATAGATCATGCTACTGATGACGGCAGCAACAAGCGAAGAACTGCCGACAAGCTGCGCTTGATAGATGCAATTCAACAGCTAGGTGTCGGATATCACTTCGAAACAGAGATCGACAAAGCACTTGAGGAAGTGCAGGCTCTCGGAGACAAATTATTCATTGTGGATGGTGACATTACTGATCTTTACCACGAGGCTCTTCGATTTCGACTCCTCAGACAACAAGGACTTCTTGTTTCTTCCGGTGGGTACACACAATAGTTAGTTTCTGGCGAGCTAGCTTCCGGTGGATATAATGACATTTTTAATGCATGCATCTACGTACTTGTGGCTGGCAGATGGGTTCAAAACATTGAAGGACGATGAAGGGAGTTTCAAAGCTTCATTGGCGTCAGACGAGCAAGGCCTGTTGAGTTTGTATGAGGCAGCACATGTGGCTTTGAATGGAGAAGGAATATTGGACGAAGCTCTGACATTCGCAACAAAGACCCTCAAGTCCATCCTCCCACACCAGAGCCCTTCATTCCACAAGCAAATCCAATTCGCCCTCCGCCTTCCAATCTGGAAATGTGTCCCCAGGTCGCTTACTAGACACTACATCGATATCTACTCGGAGGACGCCTCCCACAATGAAAAACTCCTCATGTTCGCTAAGTTGGACTTCAACATGCTGCAGAACGACCATCAGCAAGAACTCCGCGAAGTTTCAAGGTAATCAGTTTCGGACTCGTGTTTTAGTAAAGCACAGACTTTAATTATAAGTTTACACTTGTGTTTTGACACATCATCGATCTACTACTTACCTTAATTTATTGCTTTGTACTAAACATATATATAGGTGGTGGGAAAGTCTTAACGTGACGGTCAACTTTCCATATGCACGAGATAGAGTTGTTGAGTGCTACTACTGGATTTATGCGGTATACTTCGAGCCCAAATATCACTTGGCAAGGATGATAATCGTCAAGATCATATCATTGTTGTCACTATTGGACGACACTTATGATAACTTTGGTACACATAATGAAGTTGAGATTCTGACCGCAGCTATTCAGAGGTTCGAGATTTCCGGCACCGTAATTATAAGACACAAATGATCATTCACTATCCATCACCTACATATATACATTTGCTTCTTTCTTCAGGTTCAACGTGAGTGCCCTTGAAGAGCTACCTGAGGCAATGAAGAACATGTACCGTCTGATCTTAAACGTGTATGATGAAATCGAAATGGAACTCGCAAAAGCGGGACCAACTTTTGCAGTTGATTACGCTAGGGAAGAGGTAATTATATTAGTGTTTTTGCTCGATAATTCCCTCCTTCTAGCGCAGCACTTCCGAGATCCGACCCTTACTTATATGTCTTCAAATCTTTGTAGTTTCATTTCATTTGTGTGTACGTGTTGTTAATTATATATTATGATGCATGCATGCAGCTGAAGAAATTGTGTCGCTCCCACTTGACTGAGATCCAATGGCGCACCAAAGGCCATGCTCCAACGCTAGAGGAGTACAAGGCCTTCGCGTATATTACCAGTTGTTGCCCCATCCTCTGCACTTCTGCTTTCATCGGCATGGGAACAGAAATAGCCACCAAAGAGGCCTTTCAATGGGTTACCAATGAATCCAATAAGATGGTTAGAGCCGGCTCTATCATTTTTAGGCTTCAGAATGACATCGTTTCTCACAAGGTAATCCTCCATACATATATATTGCATGTGTATTATATTCCAAGCTATACCTAGGGCATGTCACTTTAATTATGAGAAAAAACTTTATTGACCGGTGTACTTAGCAAACACATGGCCTAATCCCCAATATTTTCTTAATTCGTGTCTTTCATTTTCTCAGTTTGAGCAAAACCGAAAGCATGCAGCTTCAGCTGTCGAATGCTATGTAAACGAGCATATGACATTAGAGGAGGAAGCTGTTGAATTTCTTTGGGCGGAGATTTCTAAAGCGTGGAAGGACATTGCCGAAGAATGTCAAAAGCCAACATTATTGTCAGTAGCCCTCACAGATCGTGTTCTCAACTTCGCACGCTCCATTAGTGTCATATACGAAAAGGAAGATGGCTACACAAATTCCTACCTCTTGAAAGCCCACCTCGGTTCATTATTTGTTGATCCTATTCCTCTTTGAAAGAACATCTCAAGAATAATTGAGGCTGACTATCAATAATTAGCTAGAATAACACTGATCTATCTTCTTACGATGTGTGCCTTTTCATATGTTCTTTATGTCCATTTTTTTTTTTTTGTTCTTCATGTTTTCCCTGTTAGCCGTTCTCGTTCAATAATGTATTCTGAATATTCGGCTTTAGTAAATGTTTTTATTTATGGTATTTTGTGTTCATTTGTTACTTTGAGTTTGCGAGTTTGTTTGCTAAAGTTCATTACTTCTATGAAATGTATGATATGGTCTGCATTGTGTAGTATTTGGTATGGTCTTTGATCTATACTCCAGTTTTTTCGGCTTGGACCATGAACCGTATGTATGGTTTGGTATGGACCATACCGCACCATTTCCTAGCCCTAGTTTAGCCTTAGCTCTAGATGTGGATACAGAGAAAACTCAAATATGAAATTTTACATCAATATACAAAATTAGTCATTCATATATATGTGAGCACTCATTAATCATCGTCAATGAACATGTATATTAACCAGAACACAAGAACAAACATAATCAAAAGACTACAATAACAAAATTTTAATCAACACTACTAGAACAAGAACAAATCAGAAACAAAAGAATAAGAACAAATTGACTACAAATATCAAATTGAAAACTTGAACATCTAATCAATTGAACTTCTAAAAATTAATGTTGATTTTTAAAGAGAACACGTTTGGAGAACAGAAAGCTATCACAAATTTGTTGAAATAAACCTGAAACATGACAAATCATATCACAACACTTACAAAGTCTTTCTTGAAAAGGCCACCCTCTCCCTGTATCCTCATGACAGGCTCCCTCCCAAAGCGGGATGAATTTGAAATTAAAAGCGTTTTAGGGTAAACATTGTTTTAGTTTGACTATTTGTCCTCTGTTGCCCGTCTCATGGTAAGCGTTCGCTTAACACTTAACACTTAACACTTTTTTTTAGGGGCTTGCTATTTGCCGCCAAACAAATTGCTATTTGCCGCCAACTAAAAAAAAAAAAAAAAAAAAAGAAGAAAGTTTATATGTACATCTTTGGTTAAGTTTTTTCACAATCTACAACATTTTCAAGTTTCAGAAAACGTATTGAATCAGAAAAAATCGACGCTCGCCGGAAAAGTCGCCGGAAAACCATCGGGAAAGCCCATCCTCGACGTAAACTGCGGTCACGCATCCATGAATCATCACTAAGCAGGTGCGTCAATTTTTTTTTAGTTTCGAACAATTTTTCCGACGATTTTTAACGAACAGAGGGTGGGCCGAAATTTTCCGGCGGCCGGAACCTGGCCGGGCCGACAGAAAAAGGTGGCCGGAGCCTGGCCGAGCCGAAAAATATTTTCGGCCCGGCCAGGCTCCGGCCACCTTTTTCCTTCGGCCCGGCCAGGTTCCGGCCGCCGAAAATTTTCGGCCCGGCCAGGCTCCGGCCGCCGGAAGTTTTCGGCCCGGCCAGGTTCCGGCCGCCGGAAATTTTCGGCCCACCCTGTTCGTTGCAAATCGTCGGAAAAATTCGATTTTAGGAGTTGAATTTAGAGTTTAGGAGTTGAATTTAGAGTTTAGGAGTTGAATTTAGCGGTTAAGAGTTGAAATTAGCGTTTAGGTTCACAAGAATATTGATGTGTTATATTGTAATTGTAGGAAAAATGTCAGAGTGGTTACCGGCCGATCATGATTACACAGCAGAATTTGAGAATGGGATCCATTATGCAAGTGTGGAGTTAGCTGAGTTAGCTGCAATAGCAATCGCTCAGGAGAACGGGTTCTTTATTGTTAGAGGAGCATGGAAACCGAATACTTCTGGACTACATCCTGTTACTGCCCTCTGTATGTATTGCGACAGAAGCAGTAGGATCGTTAAATCTTATAAACCAGACCCTACGAAGGAGACGCGTGGGAATACTAGTTCGAAGGGTACTGGTTGCCAGTTTCAGATATGTATTAAGGAAGTATGGCAAAAGGATCGTCCAAACACATGGGTCCTAGTGGGAGTGACAAGTCGTGCAACCGGAGCTAATAGAGGGTTTCACAACCATGAAAAGGTGTTGTATCCAGAACATCACCGACACAACAAACAGTTTAGTGAGGCTAAAAAAGAGAGGTTAAGATTAATGAGGAAGGCGGGGGTGAGACCAAATCAGCAGAAGACGACACTCAATACTGAAGGGGGTGTGATTCATGATATCAAACAGATGTACAACAGAAATTACAAGACCAGATTGGATGAGATGGGTGAAATGGATGCGATACAGTTTGCGCTTCATGGAGCTGAACAACGTGGGTACCATATCTGTTTGCAAAAGGACTCTAATAATGTGCTCACTAATCTGTTTTTTGCGCACCCGACGTCCATTCAGATGTTGCATGCATGGCCGTACGTCATCACATTGACTCGACCTACAAGACGAATAGGTATGGCTGGCCATGGGTTGAGATTATTGGGGTTACTCCAGTCAAGAAGAATTTCAACATTGCATGTGCACTTATTAAGAAGAATTTCAACATGGCTGGCCGTAGATATGGATTTCATTATCATCATGAACTTATGGATTTCATTATGGATTTCATTATCTACCCTCGATGTTTTAATCATGAGTGTGCAAACATCCGATCCAAACATAAGTAGTCAAACATAAACATCTGATCCAAACATAAGTAGTCAAACATAAGTAGTCAAACATCCGATCCAAACATAAGTAGTCAAACATAAACATCCGATCTAAACATCAAAACAACTAAAAATCCCCTGGAGGGGGGAGTCCCTGGGAGGCCCAGTACTCAGTCCACACATCCTGCACTCCGTGCAGTGCCCTGTAGGCTCGTCGAGAATGCTCAAGAAACTCATCCTCGGTCCCTGCTGCTGCTCGAACTGCAGGTGCAAACGTGTACAAAAGGTCTCGAGCACGCTGCACAAAAAAAAAACAATAACAATTGTTAGTTTCACGCTACGTATATTTATAATAGAGTAACGGTCTAGTGGTCAAATCTTACCGCTGCGGAGTCAACTAGTCGATCTGCATCTCCATCATCCCGTAGGACTCTACAATGAGAGTGTGCCACGAACCAGTCAAGATAGTCGGCCGTAGTCTCATATGGATACGTCCTCCAGGGCTGAGAGTACATGTCTATATGAACCATGTGGGATAGCAGAGCATCCCATGCAGCATCAAAACTCTCAGGAATCCGAATGACATATCCACCAGGTGCCTCTGGCCGGTCTGCTCGCTGAGGACGCGAAGGGGGAGGCGGTACCATCTGTCGGTATCCAAACTGTCGGAGGCAACGGGCTGGATCATAGAACTGGCCTATATCAGCGAACCGAATCACTCCAGTGTATAAAGAGCGACGCACCTCAAGATGAGGCCTCTGATGGAAAGGTGTCCAAAACACATCAGCAGGGGTCAAGCTGTCAAGAGCTCGACGGTAGAACGCCAACCTCACACTGGGATCAGCCACAGAACCAGTCGCCGGCTGCCCAATCCATCGTGAAGCCCAAGCCTCATCAGGTCCAACGACAGGTGGCTCAAAGTGAGATGGCCTGAAACCCGGAAAGTACTCGTAGATCCAACACTGCAGAAGTGTGAGACAACCAGCCACCCCCCTAGCACCAGCACGAGACGCCTGACCAAGGCATCTGTACAACCAAGCAAGTGTACCGGACGCCCAACTGTACTGATCTATCTCCTCCAACTCGTCCAAAAATAGGTTCACCACCGGCCGAACCCTGTCTCTACTCTTGTCCACAAACAAAGTGGACCCCAACATCAACAACAAGTACGACTGCGCCTCTGTCACATGTGTCCCGTTCACCTGCAAGTATCTGGACGCCATGTCCGCAAGAAAACCACCCTTGTCGTACCACTTACCCTTACTACCAAATCCAGGGACCTCCGAACGACCACTCAACTGCTCCGAGTTCATCCCAAGAAGCGCACACAAACCCACCTCCGGATGGTCAAGCTGCTCAGAAGTCCTACTCATCAGTCGTCCCTCAACAGGAATCTGCAGTAAGTACTGAACATCGTGGAGGAGGATCGTCATCTCTCCAAAAGGCAAGTGGAAAGTGTTCGTGTCTGGCTGCCACCTCTCCACAAAAGCTGAGATCAAAGCCTCGTCAATCGCTATCCTGCGGAACATAGAGTAGATCAGGTGCTGGAGACCTGACTGCTGAACCAGATCCTCCGCCTCAACATGACTAAACACGTAGTTCCCAAGATAGTCAACCGCCCCTGTACGGGTGTAGCAACTGATGACCCCTCGATCTCCAAGCCCCGTCCAAAGTGCGTAGGAAGCGTGGCCACGGAAGCTCCTAATAAGGCTAGGATCCGTAGGTCCACCAGGACACTCACCAACAAGCTCCCACGGTGGAGGACCACTCGAACGTCCTCCCCTACTCCGTCCAGTCCCCGAGCTCTCTGTCTCCTGACGAGCAGGTGGTACGAATCGCCCAGCTCGGTCCCTATACATAGCAGGACGTGATGTTGCCGTACGATCCTGCACTCGTCCATGTCCATGCGTAGGTGGAGGGACATCGATATCCTCATCATTATCGTCCTCATCTCTATCGTCCTCATCAAACTCAGCCGAGACCACTCTCGATGCAGCACCCTGGTTCCCCCCATGGGAACCAGACGCCCGTGATGACGAACGAGCAACTAAAGTAGGAGCCTCTGACTGATGTCCAATATCTCGAGAGCGCTTCTTCTCCTTATTCTTCTTAGGCACCTTCCTTCGTGTTGATGCATCAACAACCCTACCATTGAATCTACCCAACTCACTCCCACCCGCATCATCCATATCTAATTATCTACAAATTTACAAAATATCATACTTAGATGCGCACTAATTAATTAAATTTCGATTAACTAATTAATTGTTAATTAATCACTAATTAATCAATATCATACTTAGATGCGCACTAATTAATTAAATTTCTATTAACTAATGTACTATTAACATTAATTGTTAATTAATCACTAATTAAC